GTCTTGTATTCTGATTTTTCTATCAAGTCCATTGTGTCACTTTATTGCATTTTTTCCTACCCAAATTTTTTCATGCGAATATATTCGGCGGATGAAATTTTGGCAATCATGTTGATTTGTCTCTTCTCATGTGAACTCACAATCCTATGATCAATAGTTGTTCAAAAAATTTAAACATGCTATGTTTTTGCTTCATTTTTTATAACAAATTCATATTATATACGACAAAAATTATATCCATCATGCATATAATCGCTAAAACATGAGTTTTTATGTTATCTATTTTGTATGTATTGTTATGTATATATGACATGCAACAAAAATTATAGTACATGAGTTGCAAACTAGATGCAAACAAAATTTATTGAATTATTACAATACTCTTTAGTCTAGTACATATTTTATTGTATATAGGAATAAACAACTTGTTGTAAATTCAATTTGAGTTCTAAGAAACTTAAAACTAAATATTAATCAAAATCTTGATTAATATTGTTTTAACCTGATGTACTTAACGGATTTAGACTCAAGATGATTATATGTACTTTGGGATTTATAATTTTATTTTAGATATCTTACTTAAATTTTATTTTGACATTTTTGTAATATATAGTATTTCTAATTCATACATTGTCAAATTATCTTAAAAAGTGACACACAAAAATATGATATTCACAGTTTTTTTTTAATCTTTGTTTTCATCTACGTTAAAATTTGGAATTATTGACTCTAATAATTTTGAAGAAACTTTTAGATGATTGAACATTCCTTGCAAACATGTGAGTTTTTAATCAATAATTTCTTTCAGTCAAATTGTTACATTATTATATCCATTGTTGTTGAACAAAATTTAACATGTATTCAATTGAATATTTTATGAGCAGATATGTGCAATAGACTCAAAAAGTATGATGAAGAAGTAATGAGCACACCACAAGTTAGTAAGTGAGAGACCTTTTGAGGTTTGACATTTTACAAAAAATCTGTATGGATTATGTAAGATTTAAAATTAGGCACAATAATTCTATAAGATTGTCATGATATAATCATTGTAGGTCATGTAAAAGAAAAAAAACAAACCATTGAAGAATGTATTATTGATCTCAAATATTAGAAAGTGCTGTTAAATTTATATTCAAAATTCAAACACAAAGAATTGATAAATTTGTAGAGTATATGCCACGGACATACACATTAGACGAGCAACAAGTTTCCTATTATAATTTTTTGGGAATATAGTACTTAACTCAAAAAAAAAACTGAACTGATTTTACTCTTCAATTTTCTTATACATTTTACCAAAAAGCACAATGAAATAATTTTATATACAGTTGACTCCTGCTGGATAGATGACATAAAGATTAATACTAGTAAACACAATGATTACTAACAAGTCATCTTCCATACATTCAATACTTATCTAGCAATCACATGATATTGGCATTGACGTATACTTCAATTAATAGATTTATTTCTTATCTATCAAGCACACATATCATTGACGTAAGTATTGTAAATAGTTTACCATAATATAGCTATATACTAATTTTGATTAATTTTAATGTTAACTAATCAAAGAAAATTACAAATCTCCAATAATCTAGATCAATGTATACTCTTTACACATATATTCAAATTTTCTAATTATCACATGTGCATTAATGAGATATTCAAATAGTTTCCAAGTTCATTCATATTGATATACTTTTCATTCAATCAAATAATCTATTTTGGATATTTATGAATATATTTTTCTAATTTATATTCTCTTTCAAACTTTTTATGATCAACTATCAAGATTAATAGCATAATTTGTGTTAGTTAATTCATGAATTATTTTGATTGTGAAAAAAAAATTTGCAATATGGCAAGATAAAATACAAAATGTATGTTAAAATTAAATGAAATTTTCAACTTGTATAAAATTTTAAAATACGTTGCAAAATTACAAAAAATATTAATTTAATTGAAGATTAAACTTTGATGATATTACAAAAAATAAAATTGTTGTAGATAATGAAATGTGATATATTATATGAAAAATCAAATCTCTATGATGTGCATTTGAATAAAATTTTATCAATTTTGAATAACCACAAACTTTTATTTGTCTTGATGTAGCTCTTTATGAATATTATTCATGAAATTGTTGATTGTTACTACTTTGATAAAAAATTTATCTCTTTAAATAAATTTTATCATACTTGATGTAGTTCTGGTATGATCATCTTATAAAAGTTAAAAATCAAAACTTCATTGTGGAGTTTCGATTGACACAATTGTTATATACAAATTTTATAAGATGTAAAACTTATAAAACAAATTTTTTCATCAAAACGAGATAAAAACTTAGAAATGCAAAGACTCATAAAAGTTACAATAAAACACAAGATTTATTGACTTTTGATAATATCATAAAAATATCAAGTAGAGAGGAAATTTGATCTAGAAGAAATGAGACATACTAGCGAGCAGGCCATAATACATAATTTGTAAGAAAAAAATTAAAGTATTATGTTTGACACTACAAAAAATGTAAAACTGTTAAACATATAAGTTCTAAATTCTTGGAAAAAATATTGCTATTCTTTTTGTCCGGCTGGATTTTGAGGCTACCAGAAATTCAAAACAGTGGCATTTTGGATTTTTTGTTGTTTGCCGGAGAAGTTTTTCTAAGAACTATTTATAAGTGAAGTGAAAATCTGATGTGACTTGAAAACTACTCTCATGAATTGCAATTTAACACAAAATCTGACTACTTACTCAGTTGAATTATACAAAGATACACCATAAGAATCAAACAGTGTTCGTATGAAAGATCTTCAAAATCATAGGATTTGTTTAGTTTCAATCTGTAATGAGCTTTAAATTTTAATATATATATATATATATATAGATTTTTTTTAAAAATTTGTATGTTAATTATATATTTATTTAAATTTTGTTATTGGTTCTTGGAATTTTTATTACTTGTTAAATCATTATATACAACATAAATTTATCACAATGTAGAGATCTGAAAATATATATGTGTGAAATTTAATGACATAGAAATTTCATTAATTCTCATTCAGTTTTTTGTAATGAATAAATATATAATTCTTAGCTGTTTTTTTTTAGATTAAACATTTTTTTGATATATTATTGATACGGGTTGCTGTATATATAAAACATTTCAAAATTAAAATGCTTATTTTGGGTTTAAATCATTTATGTATCTGACATAGAATTAAAACTACAACTGTATATTATATAAAAAATGCAAAAAAATATTTTATATAATACTTTTGACAATGAAATTCAACATGAAAAATCATTAACTTATAAAAAGATGGATCTAAGATGTACAACCTATATATAATATTATGTACACAAATTTTAACACAATAAGTAAACATGTATATCCTATATTATGAATATTGCAATAATTTAGTAATGTTATATTGCTTTGTACATTATTACATAATAATATTCAAATAAGAATTAAAAATGTCAGTTATAATCACCTTGATGATTTCAGTGATAGATAAAAAAACAAATGAAATTCATATATATTTTTTTAATCTAAATATGTGTATATTTCGTTAATAAATACTATGGAATTCATATTCTTCCGCTATTTAGAAACATAATTATCTGAAAACAAAATTACAAAGATATGCAGAACAAATATTCATGTCAAAATTTGTTTTTGTATTGAAACATTGTGTGGAGGTTAACGTATTTCAGCCTAAAAAATTTAGTCAATATGCTGACCATTCAGCTTTAATGGACAAATTCTGTACATCAGGTAAAAAGTATAACAGCTTTGAAGAAAAAACCAACACCTAAGAATCATTGTCATTTGCTGTTATGCTTTAAGTGAAAAAAAAAACCGTAAATCGCGATTATAGTTTTGAATGCCTAAATGTTTTTTTTTCTAACAAATCATTTTCAAATATTGAGCAGGAATTGTTATTTTGAGATATCGAAATTAGAATATATTATCACAGACTTCATTCATGTCAATGACTTCAACTCTACGTTACAAAGCATGGTGGAAGTCGGTGGAAAGCTCCAGATATTTGCCATCTCCACAGGAGAACCACAGTCACTAAATCCGAATATACATCTCTTTCAGTAGCGAGTATACACGTTTTCTACTCCTTGTGTGGAGAACCCTTGGACTAAGTACGATCCACGAACAATAGAACAGTCTTCAGACTCGGTAAAATGTGACTTATTAGTCACATTTGACGAGTCTAAAGTACAAAGTAAAATAACAAAAACGATCGGAAGACCCCATTGCAATGAGTTGATTAGTAACCTTCAGTTGTACTTTGGAGCAGAGGATAGTACAATCTACATGTAAATGGAGGATGCAATGGTAACAGGAGGAAGTGCAACTAGCTCTAGTTGCAAGCACAGGTAGACCTGATATAGAATGTTGATGCTGTGAACATGCTTCTAAACTGTTGGAGCTATAAGAACAACGGCGAAAAACTCCGGAGCGCGTGAGGAAACTCCCCAATGTTAAAAAATATGCGGAGAGATGTGGTCAGTGTAAGCTTCGTTCGGAGCAGACGTGATAACATAAAAAACAACAGAACGATGTAGATATGGATAGCCTAAATGGATCAGCCGAGTGAAGTTAGTTCAACACATCCAAATTCGCTAACAAGAAATTGTTCTCATCACGCCACTTCTACATCCTTGCCTCGACTGTGAGAGATGTCTTATCACAGAGTTAGGCCCTGGACCCAGGTTCCTGACCCGAGCCCATGATATTCAGCAGGTTCCCGGAAAGGATCAATTTAAAATCCATGAATACGCTTCACGAATCACAGGGAACGCACAGAAGAAATAATAAGTTCACTGGAGCATCACAGAGGTACAACAAGTTGGAGAGAACAAAATTTCTCGGACCATATTTGATGACAAAACATTTCGCATGTGCGCAAAAGACATCCTCCAAGAACAAGAGCAAAGGAAGAAGCGGTAGATGTAAGCATATACACATGCAAGAATTGACTCCAAAGTAAATCGCTGTATTACCTCTCTGAAGCATCTCCAATATCATTTGTACACCTCAGGCAGCAAACCTGCCTCGTTTCTCTCCCTCCTAAGTTTATGCACCATCTCGTCTTTTCCATGTCGTGCGTTAGCATCAATCAAAATACCATAAGTGGTGGCCGTGGGTTTGCAGTGAAGTCCCTTCATTCTAATGAGGAGTTCATTAGCCTCATTGATCCTACCCTCTCGCACATATCCAGTGATAAGGCAGTTGAAGGTGATCACATCCGGCTGATGACCCTTATCTCTCATTTCTCGGTATACCTTCTTTGCTGAGTCCATTTTACCCTCGTTAGCCAGGCCGTTAATGAGAACAGTGTAGGTAATAAGATCCGGACTGATATTGTTCTCCTGCATTTCTCTAAAAAGCTGAGCTGCGGCCTTAGAATCACCTGCCTTTCCAAAAGTATCAATTAGCCTGTTATACGTGATCACGTCGGGCATCATTCCCCTCTTCTTCATGTCCTTGAGAACCTTGAATGCGTTGTCACTTTTTCGAGCCTTGCCCAGTACGTTGATCATGATGTTGTACGAGATGTGATCCGGAACAAGGCCTGCTTTTAGCATCTCTTTGAAAATCTTGCTTGCTCTGGCCACTTTTCCAGCTTTGCCGAAGCTGTGTATGAGATTATTGTACGTGACAACATCAGGCTTGAAACCCAAATTCTTCATTTCGTTGACCACCTGATGTACTTTTTGAAACTCTTGCCCTTTGCACAAGGCATCGATGACGATGTTGAAGGAAACCAAATCAGGTGGCTGCTCCGACTGCTTCATCTCGTTGAAAAGCCTAAAAAGTTGGTCAACACGGCCTGCCTTTCCCAGCCTGTTCAGCATGCTGTTGTACACAACCACATCAAACTTAAACTGGGGAGTCTTCGTCATTTCCAAGAATAAATCACAAGCCTTTTCCAGTCTGCCAGCCTTGCCTAACGTGTCAACTAAAATGGAACACGTGACAGCGTCAGGTTCTACTCCCCCCGCCTGCATTTCCTTGTATCGAATAAAGACATCATTCACTCTGCCAGCCTTTCCCAGGCAATCGAAGATGGTATTGTAAGTCACGACGTCGGGTTTAATTTCCATCTGGATCAACTCGTCGAAAAGATCACAAGCCTCATCACCTTTGCCCGCCTTTCCCAAGCAATCAATAAGAATATTGTAGCTGGGCACATCTGGTGTATACCCAGTATCTTTCATTTCTTTGAAGTAACCTAAGGCTTCGTCTATTCGTCCAGCTCTGGCAAGCGAGGAAACTAAGAAACCGTAGGTGTACATGTCAGGTTTGTGCCCGTCGTCTTTCATGTTTTGAAATAGACAGCAAACTTTCTCTACATTCTTCGCCCTTCCAAAGGCACGTAACAAAATATTGTACGCAGTGAGGTCGAGTTTGCATCCAGACTCCACCATCCGTGAGTAATACTTGCCAAATTTGTCGAAGTCGCCTCGTTTGGATAGGGCATCTATCAAACACGTGTAGACTCCAACACTAGCCTGCGAACCATATTTATCAAAAATTTCTAAAACCTCTGGGAACTTAGTAGTTCTATTGTACTTCACGATAAGCGTGGTGAGGGTGTTGGAGTGTAGATGCCAGCCCTCATCATGCATTTCCTGCACCATCGGTACTATAAACTGGAGCTTGTGAGCATGTGCCAACTTCCCTATCATCATGTTGTAATTGAGACCATCATGCTTATATCCATCTTGTGTTTTGTTCCAGTTAAAGAACTCAAGCGCCACATCTGCATCTTGCAAGCTCCGTAGCACCTGACTCACGTGATGGTTCTTCAGCTGCAACCTCATCTTTTCCAAACTCTCTGCAATCGACGGTGTCCATGGCCCGGAAGTTAATTCTTGCAGAATCCTCCAAACGACTGCGGCAGCACCGAACTTCTTTGGTGGTTGTTTTTTTGCTATGGTTGTGGTGGAGTCAGCATTGGTATCTGCTGCCCCTCTTTCAGCTAAAGACGCAACTCGTAGCTGGTCACCGTCTCGACGTACATGTCCAGCTCTGATCTCTGCAGCTCCGATCTCCACTGGCGGGACAGATAGTAGCTGCTGACCATCGGCACCAAGTGGTCCAAGTTTGTCTTCTGGACTTTGGTGTTCACGTTCAACTTGCAGCGTGGAATAGCATCTCTTTTGCAGCCATAGAGATTTAAACAGTGGAAGTTGAGTTTTCAGCTGCAGGTTACAAAAGTTGAGCAGTATTCAGTACTGCGGAGAAAAATCTCGAGGCTGAAGTAGAAGTGGATCTCTGACTGTAGACCAAAGAGCGCAAGAATGCCAGACATGATCCAATTATAACTATCACTAGAATACAGTGTATTAGTCAGCTGGGGCAAATAACATCTTCATCGGCTGAACTTGCAGCTCATCAGACATGAAGTAACCTTCCCGAATATCAAACTAGACCGCTCAGTTTCTCTTTGTTGTTGATGAAAATGTCGAGAAGGGTCGTAGTCGTCCTATGCTTCATTTACAAAACAGTATGCCATCGTCTATGAAGGCAAGAGCCGACCAGTTAAACAAATGGGGTGATAACCAAATACTAATATGTAGTTGATTTGGGTGTAGTTGATTACGTGAATGACTCACTCTACTCCCTGCGCAGTCCAGCTTAGCACAATCTTGTTCTTGCTTACTAAGGTCTAAGGTGATTAGTAATAACTTCGAAAATAAGATTTACCTACATCTATTCGTTAGCCCCTAGCATGTTTATCCAACGACCACATACAAAACTGCACACCTGTTTTCTTACAGAATCATCGTCCCATTAAAAAAACTTCAGATGCAAGATTGAAGATGAAAGCCACGGCAAAGCTAACCTTCTTTGGCAGTTCCTCAAACTTCAGCTCCGACAGCCTGGTATTGCCTTCAACTGCCTGCTCCCTGAAGGTCGAGAGAGAAGATCTATGACTTGGGGAATAAGTAGGGTCTAACGTAGACTTCATATAATGAGATAATCCTTCAAGCTGAAAGAATGTAACTTAGCTTTCAGAAAGGAACACATCATATACTTCACTTCAGGATGGATTATGCATAACAAAGAAAACTAACACAGGAATTAACCGTACGATGCGGACGAATATATAGGGCGTGAACATCTGTGTTTCCTACATAACCTGATTAACATATGGAATCATTTGAATTGGACTGAAGTAAACAGGCGTGCATCTTACCTTGCATTTCTTGAGGAAACATCCACTTTTCGATTGACTGGTTGTATGCCAGCATTACTTGGCCAGGACGAACCGAGTGCCTTGTTTATTGAATCCTCCGTTGGTTGAAATCCGCAATCTTCGGATGCTTTACAGTTTGTTATTACAGCAATGCTCCCGCGTAAGCTTTCATCTTGGGTACCGTAACAGAATAATTGCAATATGGGAGAAGAGGGAGGGAAAGACCCCGGATTGTCTGAACTAATTAGACATCTTGAAGGTAAAGAAACCCTTGTCACAAAAGCACGAGAGAAGTAAGCAATAGGAAAATGTTCAAGTGATCCATTGGGTGGGCTGACAGAAAAATTGGAGAGTAATGCCCCAAGTGATGATCTGTGACCATTCTTCCAGTGGAGTAGACTGGTGGAGTAGACGTGACAGGGGATGGACGACCGATAAAGAAACCAGCTCGCAAGAGGCCCTATCATGCTTACAGTGATCACCTAAGGAGTACAAAGAAACTCCTGTTGTAACGAATACAGTCGAATATGTAGGAAACAGCTCCGTCGGATTCTTCGGCATACACCTCCAGCTACACATATCATGACCATTTCCTGGGCTGCGCTCTCGGCTCCCCACCGGTGAAACAGGTGCTAGTAAACTGCAACATAACCCACGAGAAATATCAATCTACTAACTTAATTCAAAGCACTAGACATGATAAGTCCCCAATAACTTGCAGATACTCAAAGTCTTTTGAGAGAGTCAACATAATAGTTGATTGCTGCCTTGAATTACTCATTTTTTGTGCGTATGATTGGTGCGTGGCAGCAAAACAAAAACTAGTGATCAACTCTAGCTGTACATGTAAACAGCTTTTTTGAAAATCTATCCATTTCTTGGCTTCGCAGACGAGTACAATGGAGGATTCTATGATGATACCTCAAGCCAGGCCACCAACCTTATTAACATGTTGTTCCATCCACTAAATATCTACACATGATCAGCGGTACATTGTACTCCTCTCACTCATCACTGATACAAGACCCTTCCAACTCGAATCTGCTAATACAAAAAGGAGATGCATGGGATTCTTCGTTCTTGAGTCAAGTCTCAGAATAATCTTCTCTACTCAGAGCTATCAAGTGTGCACACTTCGGAATTAATCACAGATCATGAACGCACGAAACTGATTCACACGTTACATTTCCGATCCATCGAGGACTTGCGCAGTATATATTCTAAACACCAGTGATCATTCTCATGGAGCATTATCTAAAATAGAGAATCATTGCAGCCAAGCAGTTTAACATCCCATTCCAGCCCCTGCGTTTCAAATGTAAGGCGAGAGTTTGTCTGAATTCCCAACACATGAACTGATTCATGACGACGGCTTACCGGGGAAGATAACAATATACTAATCACGCTGACCTCTGCAGACACGAAAAAGTTTCAATAATTCCGGCGTAAATCAGCAACTTCTGTGATTTCTACCTTCAAAGAGAGAAACAAATCCTTGTGAGCCGAGGTGCGCCATCGCGCATCGATCAAGCAGGAAACGGGTCCCGAAGAAGCGATCAGAGACAGCAAAGTGACAGAGGATACAGAGACTAGAGAAAAAGCGATGGCGGGCGAAGGGAAATAGGCATCTGCCTGGTCAGCTCCTTGGCACGAATGATATGTTTCATGAAAACTAAATTGACACAATCTATAAACTCCTCGATCGAGAAAAAATGGCCCAAATCAATTGCGTTTGGAGCCACCCGGCGACCGCTGTCTTCTGTTTAAACTCTTTGTTGCCAATGCGTGACATTGTACTTGGCATGTGTAAAAATTATAATTTTTGCTTTGATCATTTCTCATGTGGAAGTTGGATGTCTTTTCAGAGAGTTTAATCCCTTCAATCATCTGACATAAGACTTTTTTTTGCTGCAAAATATATCGGTAATAACCCGCCTGATGTATTTCCTGACGCATATTCACATGCCATCGGAACCAAACCATCGAAACCAAACCATCTTTGCGTATTTTAGAATGGTGAATAAGAGGCTCTCCTTGGAATATAAAGCTAATTATATCGTTGTAAGTAAGAAAATGTACAGTGAACATATTACTATAATAAACTAACACATGTTTTATGTGTATATATATACATATATTAAATATGTCATTAGCTCTATTAATGAAAACCCCATAATTACAGCATTGAAACGCCTTAATATGTAAAAGTCGGAATTTACGGGCTTTAGGGTTTTCGATGGACTGAAGGTATCTTTTGTCCAGAATTATTGTCGAAAGTGGCAGTCACACAGCATATGCTGTGAATCATGTGCACATTCATTGTTTCTTCCAAGCACGTGGCCAGAAACAATTTACATATCTTAACAATTAGTACATTTACGGTAACTTTCCAATCCGGTGCGAAAAGTATTCACGTTTGGAGTTTCACCAAATACTAACCGTGCTCAAAATTGTGCGGGGATTTCAACGTGAAAATATGTTTTTTGATTTATGTTGGAAACCATGGACCCGTGTAAATTATAAGGTCTCATTACAGGTTATGCTATGGGGTCACATGCACCTCCATTAAAATGTACAGTCTACATGTGACGGACTTTCTTATCTCCAAGTACCTGTCGCACCACATACATATAAACAAACGCCTTCGCTGATAAGCAAACCACAGTCCCGCAACATATCTCAGATAAGAACTGATTTCTTTCTTATGCTGAGAATACCGACAATCGCCATAGTACATGACCCGTCCTTTTTATTGTCACACTCTTCCATCAGCACGTCACCAGGTCAAGCCATGGGCTCTATGTTACGGGCAAAGTTTTCAATACGTTGGAGGGCTAAAGGGTCAAGCGATGTTAAGTGTGGCCTATAGAAAAAAGTGAGTGGAATTTTTTTTTTGGTTGATTTGCAACAGATGGGTCTGTGACACTATGGGAGGTAAATTCATGTTAATCTAAATATTTGAGGTGAATCAATCTTCCGCGCAGATCTTCAGGCATTTCAGCGCAATATTTTGAACGTAAATATTGAAATGATGTTGTGACATGCAGCAGAAGGCACGAGAGGTGAAGATGCATGTAGTAGCTTAACAAATACCGTGATTTACTACTATTGACATTAATCTCACATCCAATATGCTAACCAGTTTAACATGAATACTCGTGTACTAATCTTCAGCTTTACCTAGAACATAACGAGCACAGTCGCTAGCCATCACTCACAACGATGCGTGGTATGCTTATGTCATATCAGCTCCCCATCAATTTATGTAAGCACATATGTTAAGTCGATTCTTGCGAAGCTCTAGGGAGGTATGCGCTCACTATTGCTGAAGGCACTTACAGGCTCGTCCCAATTTATTGCATTTAGACCAGATATCGCTGATTCTGCAACCCGATGTCGTAAAATTTGTAGTCTTCATGGGAAGATTGAGTACTTAAAATTTCACTCGTGAGACATTAGGAACTCTCAAAAGGTTGGTCTCATGGATGAGTCATACGTGTGTTTGGGCATTGCCGCTATAGCTCCTACCTTGCTTTTCAGCATCCATCTCATCCATCTGAGAACATGACACCTGTCATCACGTCGGGACAACACCGCGACAAATGTGTTCTGCAATTTCTCCAATTTCAGAAATTTCATGATAGTGAATATTGAAACAAGTATATCGTGTCGGAAAACTGAAAATAGTTCTGTAAATGCAATAATGCAATGTTTGCGTAGACACCTGGAACTCGATTGACCTCGCTGGGGTCCACGCTGGCTCCAGTCGGTAATTTGATTAATTGTGGCGAATTAATTCTTGGTGGTAGTCAATATCGGTGCCAGGAAGCTGGCCTTTCCATGCTGCCTGTCTTGTCTGTCTGTGCGTCGACGACATTTGCACTGAAGCACTCTTGCTGCGTATGTTAGTCTGTTGCTTGTGATCGATTCTTGGTATTTCCGCTGGATCGATTAGCTATCCCACTTCGACTGGCTGGATTTGGTGGTCGCTTTGAAGGTAGAAATTTTCTCGCAATGCATTGATTGTCGTTTGAGTGCAAGTGATGAGTTGTTGGCGGTTTCCATTCTGTGCAATATATGCATGATCGCTTCTGTGAATATGTTTGATGTTAACTATGTAGTTTGCCAATGATCAATTGGTCCTATAGTAGGGCAATTGACCTCATGTTATTATTGATCAATGGATTCGAAGCGGCCCAACTGATTTTCTCAAGTTAAGAGAGGATCCATGTGTACAGACAGTGTTTAGGAGATTCATTTGCAGACCGATTAGTCATGTGCACACGATCAGCTTTCTGGCTCTCTGTTTGATTGGAGATTTGTTTCGTGTGCCTATCCTTACGATTCATTCAGTAACATCGAGAAATCAATTTTCTTATGAACAGCTCCGAGTCGAGTGGATTAAAGAGCGTTTTTAATGAGAAGTTAGGGTGTATGATTGAACAACTTATTCATGGTTGTGATTTTTATTAATCTGCTAAAGAAAATTTGTTCTTTCTCAAGGAACACGTAAAATGCTAATGTTCTTTCCGGTAGCACTAGAGATCGCTACAATTTTACTATTTTCAAATGTCGAGAGACCCATGCTTGTAGAAGGGAAAAATCTCTAATCCTTGGGTAATTGTTGCTTTATTTCAGAATTCAGCTTCTACATGATACTGAAGCTACTCAAGGGAGCATAATCTGTTGCAGCCTTCGGATACACTAAATATGCTGAAGATGGATTGTTCTTTAAATGAAAATCTGCGTTGAGCTTGTACGGAAATGAGCAGTCGGGAGTTGAGAAAATATCAACATCTGTGCTCAGAGAGGGAAATTAACACTGACCGGTGCATTGAGACAGCAGCTTAGCTCGTCCATGTCGTTGCGTTAGTCGCTGAAACGAGCTGGTTCTCTTCAAGGACCTTGACAGTATCACCAAGCACTGGCTCATTATTCCTGGTAACAACCTGTGGCAAATAATCTGGAGTTCGTACCGTTATACTGTGGTGGTCTACTGAAGCGACTTGAAGTTTGGGATACATACGTTTTTTTAAAATCAAAGTGCAACGCCTTAGGAGGGCTTTATCTTGGATGCAATCAAAGCCGTAAATTGTAGCAGTCTGTGGAGCTTCTCCAATGTGCCCTTTTTGAAGGTCAACTTCTGCAGTGAGTGAAAGTAAGTGTGCTGGAGATAAAGGAATATTCAAATGAGTGTCAACTGAAGTGTACGTGGAGTTGTCGTTGGACAGTTTGCAATCTGCGCTGCAGTGTTTGTGCGTTTTGTGTGATCGAAATTTCGTCAAGTTCACGTCGTCTGCGTGACGTTCATTTCACTCAGAGTATCACATGACTTCTATAAGTCGTAGAGCTGAAACGGACTTCTCTGGCAATCTTGTAAATACAAATAATTCTGTAGTTCTGGGGTTTGACGCTGACACTGCTGTGTAATGGCGGACTAAACTGGACCTTCACGTATGATAGGTTGTAGCGATGGATGAGTCAGCAAGTGGGCCTGCTGGCCTCATGCGCCGTATTGTTCAGCTGGAAAAAGGTTTTGATTCTAACTCTGTTGACGTGCCAGACCAGTCATAATCTGAACCTTTCTGGATCAAACCCAAGGTTTTCTCTAATCTTTTCTTTTAAATAGCAACTTTTCCTAGTCGTATTAGGAGGTAAATCTGTCGGATGGATCACACTGTTCTTCTGTCAAACAAACTCCCAATCCCAAGTGTGCAAAAAGTTAAGCTAGTACAGCTGAAGTATTCTGCTTGCAAAAAAGAAACTTCTAGCGGTTTTGTATCCTGGAGTCGAGGCTCATTGCTGGCAGGGTGTTGCAACTCACGTCAATGACCTAGTGAAGCATCTAGGAGAACTAGGTCAAGCTGTAGTCTTGCACTCAGGAGTAACACTTGCACTAACACGGTCGTCTTTTTCCTTCCCTTCCAACATCCATCATACCTTATTCCTCTGTCCATCCAGGGCGCCAGGTGTATGGTTGTAGACCACGCGAGGCACTGGCTGATGATAATAATTGGTTCTAGGTTGTCCCTCAATCTTACCAATTGTAAGAATGAGTTCTATAATATGAATGAGTTTCATAATGTGGCAAATTACTGCAACTTGGTCAATTTCTTCTCTACTCACTCTTCTACTTGTTCATTGAACAGTAATGTAAGTAGGCTGAACTAACCGAAGGCTGTTGCAACTCGTATACAGAAAGAGATGAGCTGCAGCGTGATATTGAGACTCTTTGTATGCAGCAGTCAGGATTCTCCGGCAGTATTGACATCGTCTCACGCATTCAAGCTCGAAGGTATATTGTTTGTTACGATCTAAAATCTAACACAACTTCTTTTAGTTCCTAGGTCATTGCCAGTATACTTGTTTTTTAAAAGAACATCTCTAGGGGTAACATTTTGCACTTAAAAAGGAGTTCTGCCAGACTGGAAATCCAGACTTTGACAACTGAGATCACCGGTTTTTCTAGCAATGAAGTTGATAGAGCAAGTTATTTCAATGAAGCATTGCTACCACAAGTATTATTTGATACATTAGTTGAAATCTAGTTAAATATAGGGAGGACAAATACCTTCTTCTTTTTGAGTACCTAGGAGCGCGTACAATGGAAGTTAGAAGTTCACCGTTTTTATAGAGGAAGAATGAGGAACAACTTAAAGGCTGTACCAGGGCTGCTGGTTTCGAACAGGAGCTGGAGACATGCAAGCAGAAACTTGCTGTTGTCACCCAGGAGAACCTTAGTCTGCAAGAAGAGCTCGCCGAGACATACCGAGCTAAGGTTAGTTTGACGTTACGTCGTGACATTTTTGGTTGAATACACAAGCACATTCATAGTACTTGGTCTTCTCAGCAGAAAAGATTCATTCATTATGAAAGAAGGAAGAAGGAAGAAGGTCAAACTCACTGTCTAGTGTGCACAATTTATTTCTCACGAAGTACAGGTCTTTGTTGTGCATATCAGTGGAGTTATTAGCAAGTTCACTTGCTAATGATTATTTTTACGCAGACTTGAGAATACAACATTGATTTCTTTTTCTTTGCAAATTCAGGGCCGGGTTGCTGACGCGTTCAAGGGTGCTATGGACAAGGTATAAACCACCACTCGTCTGCGTGTCATAACTTGCCTCATATCTGGCACAGGACATCTGTCCAGTCACAGGATAGTAGTCATATATTCAGTCATAGCAAGGCTACTTAAACAGGTACATTTTTTTTGGGTGAAAGTCTTTTTCTTCTCAGAATTTCCGGTGAAAAGTCATATCAATTCTGCAGCTTTGCTTCTGTATACCCTCCCAGAACAAGGAGCTTGAAAAAGAAGTGAAATTCTATCAAACCAGAATGGCTGGAGCATTTTCTGAAAGGGACAAGGCACTTATGGAGGTATGTTACGTACTTGCTGCCAGTCAATACTTCTCCTTGTAGCAAGAATTCAGAAGTTCTTTTGATTAAGTATGGTTCTTAGTTGAAATTTTAGTTCCAGCCGACGAATTGATTTGTTGCGGTTGATCAGTTTTATTCATGATATCACCGTACTGGTGAAAGAGCTAGATTGTACTCTTCTTGATATCGGGACCTCGTCGCTGCTTTGGATCAGGTTGAGAAGCTACATAGTTCTGAGACTTCGTTGGTGGATGAGGTTAAGGAGCTTCACAAAAGGTTTCCAAATTTACATGATTGTCTGTGTGTCCATCACAATTAATCAGGTCTTTGACAGAATCTTTGTCACATTAATTTGGTCTATCATGGAAAAGAAATTTTCTTTTTAAAACTGAAAGTGCTTGCAGGTTAATGCAGGCCAACGTAGAGTGCAGTGAACACGAAAAGAGTTACCTGGATCTTCAAGAAAGTATCAAACCTGTATACGCAGCGAATGAGAAGCTGCAAATGGTATGTTTGAGGAGCGCTGAAACTCTTTTATGCGTTGACTCACCCATTGAGCATGCTGGTATTAATGTCGTTAAAACTCTGGAGAACAAAGCATCAATCTTAGTTCAACGTAAGTTTGTTTTGCCATTCTTAGCGTGAAGGTGAATATATGCCGTTTCCTTCCAGATGGCTGGTTTATCATATGATATCTAATAGGAGTAAATGTATCCCCCCTACTTTTTTTTTTCTTTCAAAAGATAAAGAGTTAAAACAAAAAACAGCAGTAATCTAAACGAATCAAAACTCTCTCGTTCTCTTATGCGCACTATCTGGTTTTAGGTTGTGGACAAGTTCTGGCTACTCCGACAAAATGCAAGAGAGGACAAGGATGAATGTGAAGATCCACTGAACAGAGCGCAAATACTGCTTGAAGATGAGGTCAGCATTTGGACCTACGGGTTTATGGTTGACCCTAAATGGCAGGAAGATTGTAAGGCGGCAGAGGTCAATTTGGTAATTTTCTTATACTCTTGCCTTCCCAATGCCTTTAGCTCTCACAGGACAAAATCATTCTTCCCCATGATAGTGTGTATAATAGAAAGTGTAAAGTTTTAGTGACCAATGTATAGCAGGGCGCTTGTAATCAGGTTTCTTCTGCCGGATCGTTTTGAGTTCCTAGTCAAGCGTTCTTTGTTTCTTTCACTTGCATTCATGTCCTTCACTGAGGATTTTAGTCTTCGAACTCTTAATTGATGTGGATTGGTTGTTGTAGGCGCGAGCTGAGGAAAAGTTTGTACGTGCAGAAGAAATTTCTAACACGCTCAGACTCCAGCTGGAAGAGGTTTGATGCTCTTGCAGTGCAACGTTGACGATCCAAATTCCTACTGGGAGATGACTTCAATTACTCCCAAATGCTATAGTAGTTATGATCATTCCTCACACAGCGTTGGCCTTATCTTCTCCAGGAAATTTTGAACCGAAAACAGTTTGAAGAGAGGCTTGGGCTTACCGAAGCTGCGTCAGCAAATTTCAAGCTCCAGATTGAAGATGTGTGTTTTCTAACCTCACTTGCCTGTTGTAATCGGTAAAGTGTTCTCCTGTGAATCTTCATATTTGTGCATAAATTATCATGTTCTTAGAAGCTACCATGGAGTTCAAATTCCTCACGAGGCTTGATGAAGCTTCACTGAATGTTATCCAGGAAATTAATGCTCGAAGACTGGCAGAACACAATGCTTCTGTATATTCAGATCACTTGGTAGGCTGCCCTTTCCTCATCATTCCACTTGACAAGATCAGTTAGATACTGCGTGAAGCATTGACGTAAGTCTTTAAACTCAAATCACTATTGGGTTGATATCCCTGAGCTTTAAAAAACACTTTCAAGAAATCATATGATTCCATGGGGATGGATCTGGCCTGACTTCGTAATTGTAAATTGAACGTGAGCACTTTTGTATTTGCTCATCAGAGATATATGCCAATGTGCATATACAAGTGAGTGTTGTTTATTGTTGTCATAAAACAGTACTCCATAACATCGTTAATTTGGTGATTCATTGAGTGGCTGTGTTACAATGCCGTACTAACTCAAAACTTACAGGCGAAGCTCAAAACAAATTTCCAAAGTGATCTGCAGCAGTTGCAAGGTCAGCACCGCATGTTAATAACAGATGTGTCAGCTATACTTCAAGATGAGAGGACACAAATGCTCCTAACATCGGAGGCTTTATTATCTGAAATAGAGAAAGAGAAAGAGAAAGAGAAAGTTGAAACGGCACGAGTAGAGACGTTGGTCGAGTTGCAGCACGAACCGGAGACAAGTGAGGTGGAGGTTACTTCAGAAGTGAGGCTCTCGAGCCCTCATCTAGAGAATGAACCATCCCAGGTCACGAGCACAAGCAGGGTAGGGATTCACTATATACTTCTAACAGAGCCTTTTCAATATTATCTTGGACTAAAGTTTTAACATCTTATATTTATCTGCAAAATTGTGGTTGTCTCACATACGCACTTCTTCGTTGGTACGTTTGGCGCATGGTCTTCCCAAACTTCGGTTCAGATCATTTGAATCATAGGGCAGGAATCTATTAATAGATGCGTGCAGTGCATGACTACTCTCAATTATTTTGACCCTCAGGAAGAAGAGGCTCTTCGCGACGCGAATGTATGGACAAATATGGATGATGAGAGCAAGAAAATCCTTGCTCAGGCATTACAAGAGAAGGTATGGATGATGTACTCAAGCCTGATTTCGCAACGTACTTATGGCATTGTCCTCAGTTTAGATGTGTCGTGGAAAAATCTCTTCGTTGGAGGAGTGGACCTAAGACCTTCACTTGCAACAGTCTTGCACATGAAGTTATTCGATTGATTTTTAAACTTGGGAAATTTGGAAAGTAAAGAACCAGTTTACTTCACTTTACCAACAGCTTTGGTGAAAAGACATGAAATATTGGTGTCACACTGTGAGCTACTTTCTGTAATGATAAGTCATACAAGCAGCCACGTAGCTATGTTGGACTTGGAGCCTTATCTTCTTGTAGTGAAACTGGTGTTGGCTAATTTCTTCATTGATGCACAAGCAGGTTGAAGCACTGCTTCTGCTATCTCAGCAAGAGGAAAGACATTATCTGGAATCAGCAACAAAGTCAGCTCTTGAGAGTCAAGTTACAGAGCTAAAGCAGAAGCTTGCACAGGTGACTTCTCAGTTAATGTCCGCCGTGCATGCCGTACAATATCCTGACATGTATGTATTTAAGTATATTTCAGTCCAAGTAGAAGTTTATGATGGTATATCACCTCAATATCACCCTTCGTAGACTCTAGATCGAAGAAAACGAGCTGACGTATCTCAAAGTATATTGGTTTACTTTCATCATGATCGTGTTTTTCAAATAAAAGAATTTAAAAGCCCATACGATTTTCTTGAGGCGTTGTATTGTATTTGACAACTGTAGGTCACTGGTGAAAAAGTAAGTGCTCTTATGGACCTAGCTGAGCAACGAAACGAAGTGCATTATCTTCAAGAACGAGAAAGGTATGTTTCCTATTCTTTCGAATTCAGAGAGTACGGAAGGAATATAAGTAGGCCCCGTTCACCGATCTGGGATAAAGCTCTACGATCTGAAGTTTTAACTCATTGGTTAATCTACGAACAGCTAAGGCGGTTCATGAAGTTCAAGCTGCAAACTATTGAGAGAAAGCAGTACTAGAATGTGGCTCAACGTTTTTTGGCTCTTTTGGTCGGTTTGTTTTGGTATTTCCGCATTACCATACCATGATGAAGCTTTCACAGTTTCCTACTTTTTACAGGGAACTTGCACAACTACTCGAGCAACACAGGAGTACCAACGCCGGTGGAAGATTGCTTCCTGCGACCTGGTCAGAGTCCAAGTTACAGGTTATGCCTGATGACTCCAGCATTTTACCAGCCCTTCAAGATAAACCTGTGGTGAATCATAAGCAACCTAGTACAGCCACTAGGGGTTATCTCAAGACTTGGTTGCGAGGATTGGATATCTCATCATCACCGTTCAAATCTATCGCTGCCAATGGAAATAAAGCTGTTACCCCTCCTGTCACTATATCGACCCGTCCGAGTGATGACTCGAATAACGGTGTTGCAAGGTCTGCTTTGCTCCTGATTCTTTACATAATTTTCTTCATCTCTCTCTGATCAATCGTTATTATGTTCCAAAGCTGACATAATAAGTATTTCATTATCTAACTCTTCTGATTTGTGTCTGAAGGCTGCTGGTGGAGAATGCAGCTCTTCAAGAGCGTGTGGCCAGTGTGCAACATTTGGCACAGTCAGCACACCGCCTTCGTATGATTCTCGTCAAAGTAAGCAGAATGGATGGAATCGGCTATATGATGGATTTCCTAAATTCGGAAGGACAATTTTTGTGGGAAAGTCTGTCGTTATGATCACGTAGTTTTAAGGTGATGCTCACAATTTACTTCCACTGTGGCAGGTTGCAACTGACTTGGAAGGGGAGCCTGAACCAAAATCTATACAGGCAGCCATGGATGTTGTGGAAACAGTGAAGGCAGAGGCCAGAAGGCTGAAAGTTGCTTTAGGATGTTCGCTTCCTGTGAGCTATCAAGGACCTCTTGAAAATAGTCCTGAAGACCTGTATGTTGTACCTTTGACAGAGGGCTTAGAGGTGAGTGAGGGTCAAACAAACGTTGCGTTAGATTCAGTATCCTTGGCCGGCATAGAAATTGCGGAGCTTCTGCTTGCTACATCTGAACTTCAAAGATCTGCTCTTCTTTGTAGGTTGGATTCCCCTCATACTGTCAAAACTTAAGAGTTAGTAAACGATCACTAGTTGAACTGTATTGAAATTACGGTTTGGAGAGGTGCTATCGCTGGAGTTCTACACCGAAAGTTTTCCATGAATTGTGATTATCCAGTAATTGAATCTGAATATAGCAGCTTGCTTCTGATTGAGAAGGGCTGAGCAATCTTTGCAATCTCGTCACTTTCTCGCAATTGGAGTAATTACTTCCAAAAGTGTACCTCAGGTTTGCAACAAAAGCCGGGAGTAAATTCTCCATTTGAATCTTCATTGGTCGAAGTCATTGCATCCGACAAGTTTGCAGAAAGCTTTGAACCTCTTCGCGTATGATTTATACGTTTAATTTAGATGTCGATGTGAGCAGGTGCTCTGGTTCTCGCCTTCTACTTGATGTGTGCAAGTAGTAGTGTATGAAGTGATTAGTGCTTGAAGACTGTTCTCCATACCGGCTGGTAGGAGAAAAGTCTATGCGTGTGATGAGTTCCGTTATGGGCGGGCCTGTGCGACTACACTGAGGCGATTATTCCTCATACCACCACAAGAGTCCTCGCGTAGGATGCGCATTTTACTGCCTTCCATCAGTCTCAGGCCTTCCGTGTTGTAGATACCTGCGAGAAGCAACTTCTTCCAAGACTTTTTCATTATGAACTTGTCAGGCCGTAGTCGAATGACCAAACTACCGTGTATGCTAGCTCGTGGTTTCAGCAACAGTAAGTGACAGCCCCTTGAATATCTTCCTCTGGCAGCAAGGAATAATTATGTCTTACTGTCGAAGGTCCTTCAGGGCAGTAGCTAGTAATCCTCACCGTCATCCGCGGGTAGAAACTAATGGTCTGATACCTACATGCTAAGCCGCATCTCATCCCCGTAGGCCTCGAAGGACAACATGTCCACTGGCAGTGAAGCTATCGAAAGTAGTCTAGTTAGAATTTTCTCCGTCGTAGGAACGATTCCACTTTTCAGGTCACTTCGACGACCCAAAGTCAAATGTCAGGGTAGCAGAAATCGGTCCAAATCTCTCAAGCAGCGAGACGAAATTTGAAACAAAGCTGAGGAACAGAAGAGTTCTGGCCCTGTCTGTGCCCTCGGGGATGCATCCCAGAGGCTTAGATGGTAAGATGGGCATTTTACTTCCAACCAGCTGCTCAGAAATGCCCGCCCACTACTAACTACTGAAATTTTGCACAAAATCCGTGGAAGAAAACCAAAACGTTTTCATCGGTGACATGTGTTACATTCTCTACTGCGTTTGCTGGCGACGCTTTCCTGTCCGACCGCGGTCCACGTCTGCACGTCATGAGCGGGGAAGAAACAACGGTAAGCCACCAATCAGCAGCTGGAGCTCGGTCAGCTCTCGGAGTTCGGAAGAGCAGTGTCCTTTACAGGGAGCCGAAACGCACGTTCTTGTACGGAGGAGCCGCGATCGTCGTACCGAGAGTGAGTCCGCCGAGGGTGCAAAACGCTGCGCCATCGCTGTTCTTGTAGGTCGAGGCGAGCGAGGCCTTGTCCCTTTCGAGGATTACTGTCGAGAGAGCGCGAGTGAGCGAGCCATGACGGAATTGGTGGTGAGCGTCGACTTTCAAATCTTCATATCTTCATGGGAGTGGTGGCAATTGGAAGAACGACGACGACTACGACGACGACGGCTTTCGAAGAAAACGGACCCAAGCAAAGATGGAGCTTGTTGGCTTGAATCCTTCTGTTGGGATAGGGGTCGTGTCCAACATTGGGTTTTCTTCAGCTCAACTTTCATCCTCCGGGGCTTCAGTTTGCAGCTGCAGCGGCTTGAGGAGGAGAAATCAGTTTCGTAGCTTAAGCAGCAGCGCGCAGATCGGTGGAAATGCAGTTGCGTGCTCCTCTTCGCAGCCTTCGTTGGGTACATTGAAAGGTAGCCGAATTGTATGCTGCGCCACTCCTCCTTCGTCGTCGGCCTCACCTCAGGAGGAAGATGTCGCTGCCGTGGAAGAGAAGAGCGAGCAGTTTTTGGCTGACGATGGTCAAATTAAGGACAAGCCTACCAAGGCTTTCAAGTCCTCGTGGACCGCCAAGGATCTCGAGGGCAACGACTATCTGTACCGGCTCGGGAAGGAAGCGGACAATCTCAACATCACTGTTGGTGCACGAGCAGGAATGATCGATGATCTTTTTGTCGGAAAATTCCTTGGAGTCGAGGGTACTGATCATCACCACTAAATGTGTACACGCGAAATTGCGCTGGCCTTTTTTTTCCCCAGCATTCTCCATTTTTGTGTTGTGTTGGTCGGGCTTTCTTTCACAATTCGGAAGCAGGGGAATTGTCCTCGGGCTTTTTTCCATCTTCCTTGTTTAATTTCTCAATCCATCTACATTAGCTACTTTACGTCAGGAATTCAACGGAAGCAAATCCATGCCATTGTGGCCACTCATACGCAGATCCTATGTAGTATTAAACAGTTCGACATGTGCAGTTGTTCAAGTATTGTATGCCCAGATAACGATCACTCTCAGTTTTCTGGGGTGAAGCCACTTGTCGGCCGAAATCTTCGGGAGCCTAGCAAGAATTGAAACTTTGATGTTTGGGCAATTGTGCAGCGGATATCGTTTTTAAATATCGACAGAAAGTGACGCGACAATTCGCCCACCTTCAAGGAGATTACTACATCGCCCCACTCTTTCTGGTAAGTCGCCGGTGGTCTTTGACATTTGCGTTTTGGCTTCGCATATGTTAACTACTAGTCTTATTCGTTTGGGGTAGAGTTTGACATATGGTCTGCGTTTTCCTCTGACACAGCGCGTTGATGTGCACATTGCAGGAGAAAGTCGGTGAGTGCAACGACTTCGGAATCACTCCTGACTTGTACTAACTATAAAAATGTGCAACTGCAAGTCAGTCTCTTGGAATTCTCCGCTTCGGAGTGGTGGTGATGTGAAAGCGATCCCCGCCGATGGGATCATAGGGCAATATTAGATCCCTCGGAATTTGAAGCGCAGTTTAGATGGACGCCGTTGTTGCTGAAAGCCCCAATATCTTTTCCCTTCGCAAGAATCTATTGTTGCTTGCAGCAAGCCCAGGTTGATCTAGTTTTGCATCCGTTAGAAGCACCTAGTACCAGCCGTTAGGAGATATATTGCATGTCGGATGAAAAAAGTCTTTAACTTCCTTTTCCACGTCCTCTCAGTGACGCATGTGGTGAAGAACTATCTCGCTCCTTCTTTGGAAACTCAGGTCCCCCTTATCCTCGGTAAATTTTCAGCTCCACTTTAATTACGGATATATGAAATGGGCCTGTTTCTTTTTATTGAAACGAATTTCTTACAAGCCGTGACTCAATCTTTCGTTGAAGCAAGAATGTCATAAATTTCACAGCTTTCTTAACCACTCCTCTTTTAAACAAATGTGGACTGGAATTTTCAGGTGTTTGGGGTGGCAAGGGACAAGGGAAATCTTTTCAGATTGAACTCATTTGTAAAGCTTTGGATCTGGAGCCCGTCATCATGTCTGCAGGGGAGATGGAATCAGAATGGGCTGGTAAGCTGTGTGATCTCCAGTCTCATGCACGCACTTATGTTTGTCTCTTTGTAGAGAGTTGACAGTTCATGAAGTTATGTCAGTGCCCCGAAGATGGAATCGGCCGTCCTTGCGGTCATCAGCTGAGATCTTAATTTGTGTCGTGCACTTTTGTACAACTTATAGTTTGCTGTGTACTTATACGACGTGTATCGTTCTCAGGCGAGCCCGGTAAACTGATACGAGACAGGTACAGAACGGCTTCACAAGTTGTAAAAAATCAGGCAAGCATTTACCTGTTTTTTCACGAATGCATTCTTTATTCGGTCCATCAGATTGGATTGGAGATAACTTCAGCAGCTTTCGTTGGAAATTGCATAATAAATCGGCTATAGAAAGATTAGTCCCTCACGATAGTACGTACTTGGTCAATTCTCACTGATGACAATATGAACATTTTTTTCATACAAGTGAAGTATCTAGATCAGAAGATGATAGGAAACTTGTCAATTCTTCTATTGATTTGATTGATTTTCACTGTGTATTCCAGGGGAAAATGAGCGCCTTGGTGATCAATGATCTTGACGCTGGACTTGGCCGATTTGGTATGATTTCTTAGGCAAGTGCTTAATGAGACTGGAATATCATGTTGTTGTTATTCTGAGAATTTTCTTGTCTGAAAGATTTTAACATGTAAATCACTTTTTGGTCTTGGACCTGCAGAGAATACTCAATGTACGGTGAACAACCAGATAGTTGTTGGTACCCTCATGAATCTATGTGACAACCCTACTCGAGTAAGCATCGGGCAAGAGTGGAGAGAAGCTGACATCGTAAAACGTGTGCCTATTATCGTTACTGGAAATGATTTTTCAACACTTTGGGCGCCTCTGATAAGAGATGGTCGAATGGACAAATTTTACTGGTAAGTCATAAACTTCTGCCTGTCAGTGTGTCCGACTGAATTCAATTTACACGTTCATGAGGTACTTCGATTGAGGCCATCAGATCTACAGGCTTTCAGTCGCATGATATGTTTCACTATGGCCGGACGGCCGCTGAGAATCTCACTTTTGAGCATAGATGCATCTTCCTCGCTTTTAGAGCATGTTTGCGGCTCGGAAGTAATGTAACAACCACTATTGCTGCCTTGAATTAAAGGCAACCAACACGAGAGGATATCGTCAACACCGTTTTCAGAATGTATTCTAAGGACGGAATAACCATAGAAGAAATTGGCTCGATCGTCGACATTTTTCCAAATCAAGGTACGATGATTTGAACTCAATCTTCGATCAAATATAGTCTTTGAGCATTCAACTCTACCCGAAGATTGAAGGAGAATTACCACATCTAAAAAGAATATCTCATGCTGTAATTCAGAACTCATCTACAACGAGTGTACTCCTAGCTTCCGATAGTTTGAAGCCTTTGTCCGGTGCTTCCGTGTGGGAAGACGGAAGATAATAGATACAGATAATAATAGAAAATCAATTTTTAAGTACTACACTTCATAGTCTTTTAGACGCAGCTCTTGCCTTGGTTTAGACTGATTTTAGTTTTTTGATCGACAGTCCTTCCATCTGGATAAAAATATATGCAAGTCATATTCGAGTCACTTGTAGGCCGATGCAGATGGTTTTAGGCCAGTTTTTCTCTGAACTTTGCTCTTCATTAACTTGTTACGACCTTGTTCAAATGCAGCTCTTGACTTCTATGGCGCTCTCAGATCTCGCACTTACGATAAGGAAGTGCTGAAGGTAAGCTACTTGAAAACTACCTCTCAGCTTCGGTTAGAGATCACGTTGGTACATTCACATTTCTCTTCGTCATTTTCTTCTGCACTCGGGTCACCTAGTTCAATGTATGATGTGGCTTGTGCAGTGGGCTAATGAAATAGGAATCGAGAACCTTGGCCGGAAGTTGATAAATAAGAAGAGAGATGAACCTCTTCCAGTATTTATTGCACCTGAGGTACGAACAATGGCCTCGGCTGGTTTGAATTGCATCACTCGTAGACCCATGTTCCTATTTCGTTCCATGTTATTTTTTTGCTAAGTTCTCAAAGGTCCTAATTAGTCATTCTGAAGAATGAAGGTTTTGTCGATCAGAAAGTTTGTTAAAAAACCCGTGAAACTGAACATCGACAATCCAAGCTGCTAGTAATTTTTTCACATTCCAATGAGAAGAATTCTCCAGAAGTGAACGTGAACTAGTCAGGTGCTAATCAGATGGCGGTGACTGTGTCTGTAGCAAACGTTAGAAAAGCTTATCGAAGCGGGGGAGTCGTTGGTGGAAGAGCAAAATATGGTGAATAATATGCGCCTCTCGGACGTGTACATGAAGAAACAGACAGGACCCGGTGTCTCTCTCCTTGGGTAGTGCACAGTGTATTAAGCCTCTTAATGTTTTGATGGAAATTCGAAGATAGGCTGCCTTATGCCATGAAGACAAACCGAAGTCCGTTGTAAGAATAGTAGCAGCAGTTGAGATTGAAACATGGCATGGCGAAGCTGAGTAGTCACTGTTATACAAATTCAAAAGTCTAAATTGTAGTTATTTTAGAGCAGACAGGCAGAAGACCTCGGCATGTAAGGCTCTTTCATTCATGTTTGTATTGTAGATCAAGTGCTCAGGATTTGAGTTGCTGATTTGTACCATTGTTCGTACACAATGTGGCGAACTGTTCTCTTAGCTGGTGTACATTACTTTGGACAAGATCTGAAATGAAACAAGTTGGATCTGACTGCAATTCATGTTTACATTTATCTGAACTGCAAATAAAACTCGTATCATCTTCAGCTTCAACTGAGATCGTCTTATTTCCATTATTAAATCCGTGGATCACGATTCTGATGCTATGAAGATGGCGGATTCTTCGAGTTGAATAAAGAGTTCATATGACAATACCTGAACATGGAATTTGCCAAGTATGAATGTGATTACCAGGGAATCCAAAAGAAGATGATCATAAGAAGTTGGATCTGATTGGTTCCAACTGAGATCGTCTTATTTTAAAATTGATCCAGCAGGAATCGACATTGCTAACGTTCTGTGTGAACCTTTCATCTTCGTCTCGCTCTTGAAGCTTACACAAAATATTGAACGAAAGCTATAAGCCAGTTTCGAGCTCGCCACCGTCACGACTTTAAGTCCTATTACTCGGTGTCCCTTCAGCGCATCTGTAGGAATTAGCCAAATACCCGCAAAGCAATCGTCGCAGCTCGGAGTCACGATTAATGTCTCGTCACCGTGAAGGTTAATTCTTAAATTCTTAAAACCCTCTAGTAACTAAATTGCAAAGCATTGCGATGTAGCCTTTTGGAAAGGCACTCCCGGATATCACGTGATGCTGTCGAGTAGAACTTCAAAGTCAGTCATAATCGATTCGCTACATATATGTCGAACCAAAAACTGTAGTGTAATTATTTCTGTGTGTTGCTGTTTCTCCGAATCTGCACCATCTGATGACATGAGGAGTTGGCCTGGAAGCTATGTAATTGATAGCTCAGTTGTTTCGCAATCCATGTAAAGTGAAGAATTGACAAGGTTTTAAAGCTTGATAGGATCCTGGAGGCGAGAATAAGTGCTCAATGCAGGCTGAAGCATGCTAAGTGCTGGGGGCGTAATCACTTGAAAATCATTCAACTCCGCTCACGGTGAGTGCTGCTTCTGTTTCTGCTGCTGCCGCTCGGCCTACGACAGTTCGGCAACTCATTGCCATTGTTGGGAACAACGGGCGAGTCAAGACAAGACAGGCGGAACGTGCTGCGAGAAGGAGCTTTGCGTGCCAACCACTATATTAAACTGAGCGCACCAAATCAATTGCTCTGCTGCTAGATTACGTGTAATGGAGGAGGATCTTCCTTTCCGAGGAGTATCTTTCCGAATGTGGACCTACTGCCGAGTGAAAGCAAAAAGTAATTAATGGAACAAAAAACATGATGTACTAGCAAGCCTTTGTATTCCAATCCACCATCTTCATAGCACCAGGATCGTGTACTTGTCGGTCTGAACACGGAGCCTATCCGACCTCGAAAAGGCCGTCTCGATAACTTAAACTGTGTAGAAAATCTTAAATAGTGAGCTGCAAATCCGTGCCCCGAATGAAAATCTGACACTTATCAAACAGTGCAGTGCAACTTTTGGTGGAATGAATTGCCCTGTCACCGACGGAAAGCGAAACGAGGCTTCGAGGCGCACGAGACTCGAGAGACATGATTGGACTTGCCCGGCCACAAGCTTCGAGTGGAGTTCCAGCACAAGCCCAACTTACCGATGGCGGGAACGAATTCTCGTGGCTTCTTGATCCACGTCACCACTCCCTCCCGACTGTCGGCCTAAAATTCCGGTACTGCCGTACACCTTTGCTTTGCGTCATGGACCTACAATTTATGTTAAAAAAATAAAACTAGATTTTACAATAATATTCATAGTTGATATCATGTAATGTAGAGTAAAACATATTCATTGATACTACTTCTTCCAAACATGCAAATACATCTTCTTTGTATATTAACCATGATGTTGCAAGAAAAATATGTTTAGGTGGTTTCCTATGGGAATTGATTCATAAAAGAAGAAAAAAATTGCCATACATTTTTGCGGTGATATATTCAAATAAACAATACAAAAAAACAATGAAAAAAATCTAGAATAGAGCTGCAAGTACAAGAACATTCAGTGCTTCACAAGAATAGATATTGAAAATATTGACGTTCATTCTTATTAGGTGATTTTAAGTAAATGCGTGAATGTTTAGCATGACATGTATATAAATTTGCACCAAAACTATTGCTACATGCATTATCTCTCGCAATTTTCATGCCAACCGAGATAAACCCAAACGTGAGTCAAAGAACATAATGAAATAATGAACCCAATCAAATTGATATTTACCCGCTGTCTGATTTCGCTCACATTCCCTCCATGTGCCAAATTCTTTAAGAAGGCGCGTGGAGAGTCAAAACGGACAAAAGGGAAGTGAGAGAAAAATATGTTCACTATGGCCCCAACTCACGCTCACAAGCTCGAGGACCTCTCCTGGCCAGGATTTGCAACTGGTAATTTCTACAATGCTGCGCTGAGCACGATCGGCGAGTCCCTAGAGACGATATTGAAATCTGTGGTGAATCTTGCGACCGACTCGTTGCCGCACAGACTCTCGTGCCGTGACGTGAATGAGATCAATACTGGATATCAAGAACCGGCAGTGCTGCCTTGCGGCGGCGAGGAGGACCCCGAAACGCGTCAACTGAAAAAGGGAACCCCTCGCAGAGTAACGTGCGCGCACCAAAGTGGCGGGACTCGTAACGGATGCGTCCCGGCAGATGAATTTGGCGGGAACTTCCCGCCTCTCTTACAAATTTGAGATGCCAGCCAGACAAAGTGGCGACGCTCCATCCCGCTGCCCCGCCGCGGGCCCGCCTCGCTCCCCGCGCTTTCTCCTTCCGAAGACAGTTGAAGTCTCCCTGACTTTCAGCACGTACGTCGTTTCTTTCTGGCGCTCATACTGTCATCACAATCTCTTTTGTATGCGAGGACTCTGGGCTCTGACCCATCCGAGACGACGAGCTTCTCATCGGCATTTTCAATATCGTCAGATCGTCTTGCTCGCTTGTCAGTATAGCAATGTGAGAATCTGTGTCAATTCACGAACTGAGACCCTGCGATTGAGTTTGGTATTCAATGCTCGTGGATTTTTTTTTCCTGTTTGAATTGTCTCTACTTCAATTCATTGTCGGATTGTGACGCGTTCGAGCTCGGAACTCGTCTGAGACTTCTGTGATTTAGTCTGTTCGATTCTTGAAGAAAGGGTCTGCGATTTTCCCTGGAGTGGATTTTTTTTTTCGGTGTGTCAATCTCAGATTACGCTAGATTACCAATGCGGGCCTCCACTGTATGTGATGCTTTTCGAATTGGGCTTGCGCAGCCATCCTACTAACCTGGTGGAATATGGGTGGCTGTCTTACAGGCAGTGCTTCAGCGTTTTTGGATTCTGCATCATCTAACTTCATTAAATTTCGTTTCCAGAACTGCATTGCGACGATGTCGAGCGTGGTGAGACTGTGGCAGCTTGTCGATCATCGACTCTGAAAGGATTATGAGAGGGAGATTACTGTGACAAAGACCAATAAACCATGGGTCCATTTCTGTAGCATATTTGTGGTCCTCCTGGACTAGGATCTACTGTCAGTCAGGTACGCACCGAAACAGGGGACGATGAAAGAAACAAGCCGCCAATAGGCAGTCGAATTCGTGGACCCGGGGCTGAAGATTTAGTGTTTAGGAAATTAGACAGTACGAACTCTGTGGCTTCACTTGGTTTGGTGGCTGGAGGGAGATGGTGGGAACAACCATTTTTACCGAAAGGATTTCTGTTACTAGAGAACAGGTGAATGAGGCTGTAGCCCTCCTGAGGCGCAAGCTTTGCGGTGGTTCGAACCAACCGCTTCATCAGCTCTCTCTTCTCCCGGATGCGGAGAGCAATCGAAAGTAAGTGGAGCATTTCAAGCTCCGGCATACATTACGTCCTGTCAACAATCCAGTTTCCTGCAAATCCTCCATGACTTTACTTCCGGATTCTTTGCACTGACGGTCCTTACATGCGGTCATGTACAGGCAATTGCACGATCTACTCTCCCACACGATTGTTAACGCGTATAATAATTCTGCACTCTTGCTCGGTCCTCGAGGATGCGGCAAAACCTTGGTAATCGGGATATTTCTCTTATTTGAACTTCATGCTTCAATGCACCTTCCACTAGCCCTCAGCTATGAGAACGGTTTTTCCTCTCAGTTTTCTGAAAGTGGAACGACCCTGAATTGTAATGACGTTGTAAGCTTTCATATAAGAAAGTTGTCAGCTCTAGACCTCTAATTCTTGGGTATTGTTAGAGATCGTTCGTTGTTCCCCACGCAACGTTGATATCCTACGAAAGTCAATCCATATTTGAAGCGGTTTTTCACTCGTAATATCCTGTCCGTAGGTTTTGGAACGTGTATTAGCGGATCTACAGTCGGCCTACCCAGAAAGATTCTCAATTGTAAGTGACTCGCAGCGAAGTCGAATTTATGGTTTCTTGGGAACTGAATAAGCGACACTGGCTTTGAGTTCGTGTGCGAAAAAATGGAGGATCTTTCAAACAGCAAATCTACAATTTACAATTCATCGAAACTTATCATCAATAATATCTGTCTACTGAACAGGTTAGGCTCAGTGGTCTTCTTCATGCCGACGAATACTGTGCCCTGAAGGTGAGTAGGGAGTTCTACATTACACGCGAAGATAAAGGCCTGGCTCATCTCGTATGCAAAGATTCAAGTTTTTACAATTCACTCAGTCGTATCCTCACCGTGTTCCTTGATTTACGAATTTCAGGAAATAGCAAGGCAGCTTTGTGTGGAAAACGAGCTGTTCTTCTCCAAAGCGGTACGAATCAGAGATGTCGTTCTCATTGCTGCCTGGACTTCATTCTTCTAGTTTCCATCAGCAGATTCACCTTACTCTAGCCGATCCTTACAGCCGTTTAAGTTTTCTGAAGGTTTGATGTATTCCGTCTGATCTTGCCGAAATGAAGCTCATGAATCCCTGTAAAATGCTCTCTCTTTCTTGCGCAGGCATCTTTTAGTGAAAATTTACAGTTCCTAACAGCAATGCTCAAGTAAGTGATACTCACTAAAGAGACTAGGTCCTATCTCCTAGTGGATTACAAAATGTGATTTCTCATGTGAGCGCAGCCCTTCATTTCTCCATAATCTGCTTTACCATCACGTAAAGTAATTTGGTTTTGCTTTGGATCAGAGAATGTGCACTTTCCGACAAAGCCTTGGTATTTGCTCTAGAAGAATTTGATCTCTTCGCCCAGGTGCGTTTTTACCTCAAACTTAACTTGCATATTTATGGTAGAGAGTAGTAGAATCCAACTTACCTCCATCATTCAAATTTATTTTCAGAATACATTGGATCTTTGACTTTGTGACTGGATGATGACTTGTTTCTATGTGCCTTGAATGCAGAGGCCAAAGCAGTGTCTCCTCTACAATCTTCTGGATGCAATGCAATCTACCACATCACAAATTGCAGTCGTGGGCATTAGTGCTCGTTTGGTGAGCTCCTGACTGTACCTTGATGCTATTGTTACTTACAACGTATTTTGATTGAAGAACTCTATACTATGAGACTTGATGATGTTTTCGCGAAATGACTTATAGTTTTTGTCTAACAAATTGCTTCTTGGCACGCGAATCCCACAATCGGAGCTCATTGTTTGAACCATCGTATGGTGCAGGATGCCGACCAGCTCTTAGAGAAGAGAGTAAGATCTCGGTTTTCTCACAGAAAGTTCCTGTTCCTTCCTCCATCTGTTGAAGATGCGACAAGGTAAATAACTTGATATCTTAAACCGAAAAATATTTGTTTGAAAATTCCCTGTCTGCTACATCCATCGTTATATCAGAGTGGATTTTTCCGGTGATGTCATGCCTTCTCGGGTTTCGACACTTCTACTTAACTTCGATCAGCGTTCTCACGGTGCAATTCCATTGTATGGCCTTCGTTTCAGACTGCTTCAGGATGTTCTGACGTTGCCTTCTGATTCCCAATACGCTAAGGCCTTCAACATGCACACAAAGGTACTTTTCTTATCTACCTTTATTACATTCATAGAACATAATGTTCACAATCAATTACTGCTTACTGATAATGGACAACGATTGACAATCTCCTACAGGCGGAAAGTTCTCATGTATTCTGTGACTAACTTTTGACGAAATACGCAGAAATTGTTTGAGAAAGAAAGTTTGAAATGCCTCATCAGCAAGTTCACAGAGGTGGATCTTAGCCCTCAAAGTGTCCTTGACCTCGGGTGAGTTTCAATTTTCTAACGGATCTCGATGATGAGAGTTTTGTGCGCTGAATCTGATACTAAGGAATAATCACTAGACAACATGCAATGGATGGCATTAAAGGAAACTTTGCTATGTCTGGCTGCACTTATATTCTCGAAAGCTGAAAAGTAGAACACACCTTCGTGTGTCAGGTTCAGGGCCCTTTGCAACATAAATCGCGATACCGGTCTTCTCACGGAAGACAATTTCAAGAAAGCAAGTCTTATCCTCAGACCAAAACCGAAGTTGGAAACACTGAAAGGTAGTATCCCCTTGTGGGTATTATGTTGACTAATCACTGAAATGTAATTACATTACTTCTTAGGTCCCATGACGAAGCTGTTTTGCAAAACTTAAACGAAAGCTTTATGTGAAATTCTTTTGATGGTTTCGCGTTGATTGTGGAGAGATTCCTCATTTTTTTAACAAACTCGGGAACATCTTCTACTCTTAACACCAGGATAGCAGTTCTGAAGGTTTTCTGATCATTGTGAAATTCGTTGGAAACCTTGTGTTATTAATATATGTCACACATTTGACGAGCAGGACTTTCTGTCTTGGAGCTCTACCTGTTGGTAGTGATGAATAGGTTAGAGGGGCAAAATCGCGAGGTCTACAATTTTAACACCATATTTCACGGTAAATGGAACGGGGATTCTAAGATTTTTCGGTTTGCTCTTGAAATATGACGATGGTAACACTTTGACAGGTTGATTATCATTGAGTTCCATTGACACTTTAGTGGCTTCTAGTTGGTTGAGTGAGAATGTGCCGAACTGTTTGTGTACGTGGCTTCTGACTCTACCTATTCAATATCCGATTGAACTCCAATTTCAGAGTACGAGAGGCTCTGTGGACTTCATAACACTTGTGACAAGTATTCGCGCCAAGTATCTCAGCGTGTAAGTGCACCTCTAACTTACAGTACGTTGCGAATCCTTAGCAGCGCCACTGTTCTTTAAATAGATTGGCGTGCACTTCTTAGTGCGGTGCATCTAGTACCCATGCGCCATTATAAGTCTCCCTGATAAATTCTTATGGCATACTGGTACTGTATTTACTACTTCCCCTCATGTGCAATCCCGTTTACTTGGCCGTGATGTGCATTGTTTATGCCGCTACTTACATTGCTTCCGACACCCATCGCTGACAACCACTGTCCGTTTTTCAGGCTTTTGAACACTTGCTAGATCGAGAGCTTATTAATTACGCAGAAAGGTTCACCACTGTTGAATATACGCCTGTCAAGTTGCTCATTTCGAGTCAGGAGCTAAAAGACGGTCTACATTCCAACTCCGTGTGTCCGGTAAATTTATCACCAACTTCTGATGAAGTTTTATTTCCTCCCTGGTTGTATGTAATTTGTTAAGTATGGACTTGGGCAACTTCTAAATCTGAGGGTGATGAAGAAGTGAGAAGTCGTTGCGTATATCGTAGACAAATTTTTTACATTTAATGGGTTGGACACATGAGGCAAGGATCGATAACTCATGGAATTATCTACGCATCAGCATTACGTGAATCAGATGTCAATCTTGGAAATCTTTTTTAATATCCATGACTAGTCATTCACGATATATTATAGAGACTGGAACAATCCCGACATTCATGCAATGAGGCATTAAAAGGAAGTTAAAGCCTCATTGCACAAATGTTGGGATTGTTCCAGTTCCTGCAGTATATTGTGAATTACTTATAAAGAATATACTATTATGCGCTAGTCTAGAATTCCAAAATTTGATATCTGAGTCACGTTAAGTTGATGCGCAGATAAGTACACGAGTTATCGATCCTCTTGACGAGTCAATAGATATAGACTAAAATGTTGAATTTGTGTTTATCTGATGTTGTACAGACAATTTTACATCAGTGGTTTTCTCACGACAATTTCAAATAAGTGAATTGATATGCCAAAGTGCCCCAAGAGGAGCGAAGACGAATACATGAAAGGTACTTGGATTGGAAACTCTTTTTGTGAACGACTATACAAGTTTGTCACGGAGAACCCGTCATTGATTTCTGGAAACGCTGGTTTGCTCAGTAGGTCGAGGACATCTTAGTCAATTAATCTCATAAACAGCATCCTTTTCTGCATCTTGATGGCCATATACATGTGTCTATATCCTGTTCCCATTAATCTAAATCTTTCATAAGCCTCACGCCAAATTTCACCTTATCACCGAGGTCTGGTGGTCCAGTCTCAAGAGCTGGCTTCAGTAGAGCTGAATCACGCTCGTGTTGTTTTCATGTCAAAAAGTCCCAACATTATATAGTGAGATAAGAGAAAAATTTAGCTAGACAGAAAGGTACATATAGTCACTGACCGTGCCGACATTTAATCCATATCCGCTTCCTGAGAGTGGTGAACTCGCCATAACATGTAGTCTCGATTCGTTGAGTAACTCAAGTCAAAGTACATTACGACCTGTTTGGAGGTTTCGATTGTTTTACCAAAACAATATTACAAGCATTTCATTCTAAAGTTGCATGCAAAATACGGTTTTTTCTCTTATCTTTCTGTACACCAACAAGCCCGCGTGTTCCGCATGTGCAGGTTCACGTCAAAGGTCGCTGCCAGTGACAAACTCAGCACTTGGAACTGATGTTTACGAATCATATCGAATGAACTCAAATCACGACGAGGTCACTGTTCCTGCTTCACTGAGGTCTGACTCCATCCCAAATGATGCTATCGCAACCCATGGGTACAATCGAAGGACGGCTGGATGGTTTGATAGCAAGGTCGGTAGAGAGATCTCCGGAAAGCACGTAGCTCAGGTTTAAAGTTCGAACACTTCCACGCTTAGTGGATGGCTACTTCAACTCTCTCATCTACAAGGAGCTTCAGGCTACATGGGGAAAACGCGTACTATTTCTCTACGTCAAATCTGAGCAGAGGTCTCGTGAAGACAATTGGACTTGCCGATCTACTTCTTTCCCCTCGCTCCCTCCCTGATTCAGCTGCTCGCCCTTGACCACCGGACAGTATGAGATTTTCAGAATGCTCCATGGTGCTAGCCATGCGTTCCACAGCTTGGCTTAAACGATCTATAGACTTTATCGATAGATCATCAAGGTCCACTGAAAGTTGTGAATGAGTCACCAAGGATGGATCCGGCAAATGCTGCCCTCGCCACCAGTCCTCGGACCGAGCTCCTGGGTTGTTCGCTATCGGAGAACTGCTGATACGACTGTCAGGTGGAGAAAGCTCTTGCTGAGCCTGGAAAGCTCGAATATGCTCGTGAAGTTTTTCATCGAAACTTGTGGATTCCATGTCCATCTGTGAAGGTACTCTGGATGCTGCTGTCATTGGCCTGGACTTCAATGGTGACGGTTGAAATTGGTCAGTGACAGATGGTGCAGAACTGGGTCTTATTGGACTCTGACTCAAAGATTGTCCTGAAATCTCTCTTCCTTCGGGTCGAAACTGGCTTATTTGTTCTTCGGCTTCCCTGTCTGATCCGGATACACGTCTATGTCTGACTGGAGACGGTTGAAATTGCTTCTCTGTTAAGTTAGGTGATTCTGTCCTCATTGTTCCTGGGCTTTTCATAAAAATTTGTTGACTGTCCACATCTGTGGTTCTTGCGTCAACTAATGGAGATCGACTCATCTGCTCTCGAAGGTTTCGATCTGGCCGCTGGCCAGTTTCGCTCATGGCGGCATTATAGCTGGGTGGTGAAGTTTCCTCATCTCTGTACTCGTGAGAACAGCTTTCGAAAGCCGATTGTTGGACGTGTACGTAAGTTGGGCTTGTTTGCATCGTGGTACTGGTTAACGGAAATTGACTACCGTAATTATCTCGACTGGATGCACGAGAATCTGGCCGGACCTTTTGTGGAGCACTGCTCGTTCGACTATGAAGCTTGCTACTACTCGGTTCTTGTTGCCACAATTCCTTATCTCTTCGATTTTGTACTCTGGGTTTGGCCTCTGTGTTTATAGAAGAGGTATATGTAGAACGTATCTCCTCGTCTACAACCTTTGCTGGACCTGGTAACGCTGTTTGTAACGATTTGATAAAACGGTCGGACCGTAGTAACGATACGGGTGAAATCATCTCCTCTGAGATATAACCTCTGGGCTGCTTTAGCTCGTCACTTATCTGTCGATCGCTCATAAGCTCCTGCTCTTGGCGAGGGGCCATTGTAGATTGGACTTTTCCCAGCAGCTGCCGCAAGCGGGAATCAAAATCCCAACTTGTTACCTTCCCGTCTTCACTTGGAACAGCATCCCCTTGGACTTTCCTTTTACGTCGGTAATGTTCACCTGTACTAGCTTCAATTGTATCTGCATCATTCTGGGGAAACTCCAAAGGCCTCTTCTCAACCCTTTTTTGTCTTTTTGTACTCGAGGGTGCAACCTTCACCTTGTGCGGTCTGGTCAATTGTATGCCTCTCGGCCTCTCTGCACTTTGTCCTGCTCTTATGAATCGTCCACGCTCATCACGCAGCCGAAGACGCCCAGAACTCCCCCTGTACTCGCCTGCGGGACTCAAGGATCGACCCCTTGGTTGTACTGCTCTGTGCTTACCTCTTCTTCTTTTAACACGTCTACCTGTACCAAGATCCTCCAACGACGAGAGCTCGCCGTCGTCTGAATCTGAGACTTCCTGCGAGGTGTAGTACTCGGCCTCGGAGTCATCAAGCTCATGAGATGAATTTCTGGCTCGAGTGTCACTCCCATTGCCTCTCTCACGGCCGTGCGATTTAGACTTCCTCTGCTCTTGTAAGTCGGAACTCTTCCCTCTCTTCCGTCCTCTTCGAGGACCATGATCTGATTTCACACTCTCCGTATCACTCCAGTCCTCCAGTAACTGCCGTTTTTCTCTCCCTGCAGCAGCCTCCTCGTCATCGTCTGACGTCTTAGTCTTAACCCCCTCGGACGAGTGTGATGATCTTAAGAAATGTCTTTCGGAAGGAGTCTTCCTGGCGTCTCGCTTGTCCATGCAAACGAGTCGCCGTCCCAAACCCGTGAGTTGGCAGCTTCCAAACTCACGAAGCCACTGCATCGCCTTCCATTGGATGGACAAAGAGAGCTCCCATTTCAAGGAGCTCATGAAAGCTGCTTATATATTTCCCAGCGTCGCCTCGCACGGACCTGTTACCAAAAGTACAGCACTCTCGGAATTGTCCTTCGCGACATCCTTACCGAGCAGCCATTTACCGTTTCGTAAGTTGGCACTCGGATTTCCGAAAACCTGTAGCCTGTCGCCCTTTCCGGTTGAAAGGCTCACATTCCGTGCGCTTGTCACCGAAAGCAGTTAGAGCCTTGTGCCCAGCGGTTGAGAAACGGCCTCCGGACACAGAATGCGGTCTGCGACTCTGCGGTTCGGGGCCGAAAGTCTCAAACCAAACTTGACTCCGCCGAGTTCGACCATCTCCTCGGCCTCACTACGAGAGAACTCGGTCATGGAATTGCGACCGCGTTGTGCCCAAGCAACGAGGACGTCCCCCTCCCTCGATCATCTGTCGGGCGTCGAGCGGCGAGCGGCGAGCGTCTAAATTCTGCAGGAGATCGAGCTTCGCGCGTGCGCTCCTGCTGATTGCCCTTGCATTACCGCGAGGGCCAGGTCGCCGTTGCGTCGCCGACTGAGGAGTTCGGAAGAAGCTCGAATGTAGGGGGTTTCAAAGCTGCCGCTTCTGCGGGCCAAGTGGCCGCTTCCGAAGTGGGTGAATCTCGCGAGAGCGAAGCGGCCAATGATCGCTTCGTTCATCTTGAAACTCGGAAACACCTGCACCTCGAGCACTGATGCTTGAACCGAATTGTGCACACTTGCGGAGGAGCAGCCATCACAATTTCTTTTCGGGTCCGAACGAGCCGTCTTCGTCGGACCCGGGGCAGCGAGAGTTGATCGCCGAGACGAGACAAGCCGCGAGATTTCTTCCGTTCGAATTGGGGCTATTTTCACCCGACGTTCGCTACAGAATTGGATTGTTTTTTGTTTCCATCAGCAGATCCTGGCCCGGCCTTCTGATCTGGGCAAGCGGCACACCTCTTGGGAAAAGTCGCACGAAACCAGCACATCCACTCTGAACTCGATCTCGACTGTGCCGAGCAGCAAATCTTCCCCTCCAAGCAATCCTCGCATATAGTAAGAATTCCCAACCCCCCTATACGTCAGCTCGTGAGTGAGAAGAATCCATGTCATCTTCCCGATGCGGATCGAACTCTAATGATAGTCGAGAACAGGATACAAGCCTATCTGCGCATGCCATTCCGCTGGCCCCGCGCGATCAGCTCGAGCTCCGAGAGCACAAAGCTCAACTGCTGGGACATCCATCCGCCGCGTCACCCTCGCCCTCCGCACGCGTCATCGTGGAAAGCCAGCCTCTCCTTCGAGACCACGGCATCTGTCGACTGGACTGATCGTCGAATGTTCCAACGACATCCGCTTCCGCCGAGGCCTCTGAGACCGCGCTCGGATGGCAGTGTCTGTCGTCGTCGTTCGGTTCAGCTTTTCTGCCCAAGAGAATATTTCTTCGGAAAAAGGGGACTTTAGCGAGTTTAACTCTGTGCATATATGTCGCATTCCGCATACCTGCGTACGGTTATTACCTTTACACCAACCCCTAAAGTAACCACAGATACTTGGTGCCCCAGTATAATGAAAGACAATTTCTGGTGAGGTTTTCTAGAATCAGCCTCGATAGTGGAACGAATTTCATAATGGAGTACTATACGTCCACAATGTAAACTTGTGCACGTAGGTCTCTATCTTCCCAGTTAAACCCTTAACTTGGTGGTACTATGTTCAAAAATGATCAAAGATCCAGCAGTCACAGTCGGACTGTGCATCTCGCTAAGAGAGACAAAAGAGAAGTAATTGAAGCCTTAACTGATGGAGTTTACTTTAGAGCATGGGAAGTATAAGTTTGAAAACAAATATAAGGGAAAAGACATGAAAGAAATACTCTGCTAATAACAGTCCATATTCAAATTATAGTGCACATTAGGGTAAAAGGTTCAAGGGGTTCATTCTCATCAGCATCATAATGTGAAATAGGTCAACTTTATACTCCAAATAAACTTAAATGATTTTAAACACTATAGTTTGAATTCTTGTGAAAAGCAGTATTAGTTTAATACACATTCTATCCAAACAGCTAAAGTTCTCTAAATTCAGATTAAAAGAAATTCCTTACAGTGTGTCAGTTCGATACATGTGTAGAATATCATTCTGTTGATTTTTTCAACCGAAATGATTGAAAAAATAAATAAAATTGTTATATAGCTCGCAAGATTCATATATATTCAACGATAATCTTTCTAAAACTTAAACAGTTATTTCCTTTGTGAAACCATCATGACCTAGATTTCATTTTTATGTCTTTTGAACAAATATTATTATCATAATGATTGTTGTCGAGATGTGACAAGTTACACACGAAGTAATTTTGGAATAGATTTTTCCACACGTGTAACGAAACTTAATATGTACAAGTTGTTAATGCCCGTATAAATTATTTCAATAGATGTAATTTTTCTTTGCACATAACAATGTTTTGTAACTATTTTTTGGATGTATAATCCTTGCAGATCCTGAGAACGGACAAATATAACTTATGATATAGAATGGAAGAGGATATTCTCTACCAAACGAGACATTGAAGAGAGAAATATGTACAAACAAACGATAACTTGTGACATTTGGGAATTGTTCTATATATTAAGAAATAGTAACTCGAATTCTCTAATAATTTAACATCACTCCCATCCTTTTTATCTAATATTATATTCCACTGTATGACTTGTCCAGATGCCACCAGATTTTTCATGAATAGGTTGCAATTCAAGTTAAATTTATTGCAGCAGACTTTTGCTTTGATTTATATAAAATTTGTCAACATCCTCCATGCCTGGTTTGAGTACATCTTTATTTACACATGCAATCGTTTCTCACCAACAAAAAATTCAGAAGAAATATTGAGAATACTTATAGCATAATTCGGCCTGTGTAATCTTTTAGAAATATTAATTTATACATATAATAAGGAGATTAACATGGTACTTTAGGGGTTCATTACCACGTATTATTCAACTCCAGGCTCTGACAATATTCTGTTATTGTTTTATTATTTGGGAGAGAGTACAGACCAGCGTACAAAGTACAAAGAATCAGTTTACACAGAGGAAGGAAATAAACTATTAATATACATTAAATGTGTATTAATCATTTAAAACTAAGGACCTCCACTTTGCTCCACCTGTCCACGTCTTGTGATTTCTACTGGTAAAGAAACCGAGTAACAAAGCACAATGGAAATGGTTAAATCACAGACTGAATAGGTTCGAATAACATCTCCATAGGAAATACGTCACACTATTGCACCATCCAAGTTGTATGGAAATTATCGAAAAGGTTTTAGCTTGATGTAAGACGTTAACAACCAAACCTAATTTGTCAGGTCATTGATTATAGTGAGAAAACAACACATTTTCATCATTATTATCGCCGTCCCTTTGTCAAACAAATATGTTGGTGCGAGACCCTTGGTAGGCCCACATCACTAATATAAGACATACAAAGTATCCAATAAGTGTCGAATGCCAGTAATATAAAGTGACGTTATTTGATTCTTTGAAGTCAACAAAAATGAATTGCCTTCGTAACATCGCTGAATTATTTGATTGAAAGTCTCAATTTGAGAGTCGAACCAAGAACTTGATTCGCTTGCTTTTTAAGACATACCACTTGTCTGGTAGGATGGCAATAAATCCTATCATGTCAAAATAGAAGAAATTGTGATCATTTGCACTGAATATAGCAAGCTGGCAAGTCACTGAAGTTAGAAATCGAACTGTACGCATGTTCCCCTAGGAAATGTCCTCCCAGGCGGTTACTAGTTGGTTTTACCAAGATTCAATATAATCTCATCTCTGTTGTAATAAGTCGTAGTTGCTTTCATGGCGCATATCAATCTCCCCGATAAACTTTTCTATTTGTTGTTTAATTGTTCGAGACCCATCATATCGTGAGACTGTTATGTATTATCTAATCATGTCATTGGCTGTACCCCCTGTGTGGTTTTGATCACATTCCAATACCGTAGAAAATTATCACGATATATATTGAAATATTATCTCTCTTTATTTAGATATCAATGAACTCAACTGTTTAACCGCTCGGTTTCTATCGCACACGCGTCTTTCATACGGAAGATTGTAACATCCAAGTTGAAACCTTGGTTTTTAGACCACCTAGAAAATACGAGAGTGATATTCCATGATCATACTTAATGACTTGAATACTATCTGGAAAGATCTTCATGTTATAATATTTAAATAATACTCTCACACAATAATGCATGTTCTGGCAGGATGTTTCAGTTTCTTGGAACACTTTGGCCTTTCTCCCTTCTGGAATTCCAAACAATTCCCTAGAATGAACGCTGCTTTCGAAAACGAGCAACTGTAAAGTAACGGCGTTGCAGACGTGGAGAAAATTGTCTTTAATCTGGTGGGTAACATTTTCAAGGATAATATGAGTTTTGGAAGTGTGATTTGCTAATAGAAGTATCCAGCAGAATAGTAGATTTGAACACATTCTTGTAATCATGAATGATCTTAAATCATCCTGCGGTTTGAGTACAAGGAGCAAATAAAATTCCCATGGTAGTTCATCATTTTGTAGACCATCAACTAGTAGTCCATGTACTTCATCTACTTGCTATCTTTAACGATTTTAGCTCCCTTCATCTAATGTCCAAATATAATCTTCATTGCAAATCATCAATGTAGTTTATTCAGTTGAATTTCATATACTCAACAAACCGTATCACAATGTACTTTCTAATATACGCCGAAAATAACAATATCTGAGTAGGACTTGAAAATACTAAAAAAAAACTATTTGGGGGAGGAACTCATGTATCTCTAGTTTCCTTTTCATGGATAAATTCGAGTAATCCTGATAGTTTTTTCAAATGATCTGATTCATGTTTTGTCTGTCAACCTAGCTAACCACATAGCTCGTGTACATCAACTGAATAGAAGAAACTTTTTTATTCAAGAATTTTATTATTACTTCGCAGTCTATTACGAGGAATCACATTATTTCATGCTTATTTCCATGCGCTTTTTTTAAGTGTTTAAACTTGATAATTATCGCATTTTAGTTGTAGTACAACATTTTGTTGGTTGTGATACTACTGGAAAATAACTTCTTTTGCTAACCCGTTTACCTGTATGGCTTGATGCTACATACTTGGTGTGTCATGAACAACACAGTGTAAATCAATAGATGATTTCATAATCATCATTGAAAATGGACAAAAAAATTCTTCAAAATTACTTGAAGATATAAATCTATTGTAATTAAGAAATCAGTCATTTGTATGATATATATAAAATCTTGAAATTATATATAAATTTTCTAATTTTCTAAATATGATGTTATATTAGTCACTCGTTAACATAAATACATTGAACTTTCAGTAGTGTTACAACTTAAATATAGACGGTTTTACTGCATAGTTTTTTTCATCGTTGTACGAATTGATAGGGGTATCCTTGACTCCATTTGAGTTTAGCTGTACCCCGTTTTTCCCTCGAAGGATTTAGGTGCCGTGTGTTTACAGTATAAACACACGGCACATGTCACCGGTACAGTATAAACTTTATACCGGTGACATGAGAAGACTTCCATGTGAACCGTTGTGGTCAAAGTCTTCGTTCCTGACGTCGGAGCAGCAACAGCGATGGCCGACGGCGAAGGGCAGTCGTACGATCAGAGTTCGAGAGCTCCGGTCGCATCGAGTACTCGGCTCCTGCAACATCGCCCAAATTACGTCCTCGACTGCGACTGCGAGCGACGAGAAAAGACAGAACGAACGCACCGTCGAGGCTGTATCGAGGCTGTACCGATCTAGAACCCTCTGCTGACCCCGGCAGACGGTACATTTCGTACTCCTTTGCATAAATGATAACCTCGTTCGGATGTAAGTGAGATCTGGCCGTTGAATTCCGTGACAAGCGATGCGGTGCGATGGATGGGACAGGCACCAAACAAAAGCAAGGCCAAACAAGCACAATGATTAGAAAAAGTCAAATTCGTGGCAAGAAAAATAGCGAAATATCACGCTGTCCTTGGAGGGAGCCATTCATGGCCAAGGGAGGACTTTTAAATGGTCTCCACATGAGATTTGAGATCGAGACTTATTTATTAGAGAAGAGTGCATCAACTCTTCAACCACTTGAGTTGGACATAAATATGGAGTTCACGTAAGCTTATATATTGATTTTCTACTTCTTTCCTTTCCCATATTGCAG